TTGTTAGTGTCGGAATCTAATTTTGACCATATACATGAATAGATTACATTGATTTGGAAGCTCAACGAAAGGGGAAAACTCAAGTCCAGGAGTGATTGTTCCTTCATTTGAGGCAAGTGGATTTCTAAACCCTTGTTAAGTGTATGAAATTCGTGTATTTCCTTGTGTGGTGTTGAGAATGACTTCCAGACTTGTTTCCTATTTGTTGGTGTTGTATTCCTTGTTGTAAATTGTGCTTTGTTATCAAAATGGTTATCTCCTCATTTTCATTTGAGCATGTAATTTACACTGTCTCTAAGACATGGTTGTGGTGAGAGAATGTACCATTTCAAGGGTTGTATCGCATGCCGCGATGGATATTATATTTCGAGGGACGTATCGTGTGCCGCAATGGTTACTATTATCGAGGGTCCTGTCGTGCGCCGCGATAGATGTGTGGAAAGATATGTCCCCCATGAGTCCTAGATTGAGAGAAAACGAGTGTGTATCTTTAAGGAAGACATGCATCGCCATATTTGACATTGCATCTCATTGCATTTCACATTTTTATTACTGATGAACTTGAATACGTGTTTTGCAGATCTTGTTAGTGTTTCTCTCTGAAAATTGTGATTGTTGAATATTGAGTTATTGAGAATATGTAAACTAATAGAGTGTGGTTATTGAGTTGTGTGTTTGGTAAACTGTGAGTTATGTGTAGTGTGGAGGTTCAGATAAGGTGTAAGGAGTACCCGTATTTTGTTCCCTTAACTTGTATTTAGAGATTTGCTTGTTGGGTGCCGCGTGGCTTGGTACTCACCCCTTGCTCGTACAAATTTTTGTAGGTTACGAGCCTGAGTTTTCGTGATACCTTTCATTCTGTTCATTTACGAGGCATCTTGTGGAGGGTTGGGAGGTAGTTTCTTGTCCTCTCAGCGAACTTTCCTACTCCAGTTTATGACTCTGTTTTTACTTTAAAGATAACTTCATGTTAGACTCGTATTTTCATTTCAATTCTAGTATTTACATTAGAGGCTTGTGCACGTGACAACCAGGTTTTGGGAATTGAATTAAGTTTAATTGTTTCTGTATTTGTAATCGTTATTAGGCTTTTGTTTTGTTTCTGCATTTTATCGAAATTATTGGGTTAGGCTGACTTGTCTTGGTTGGATACGAAGAGTTCCATCACGCCCATTTTTGAGTCGTGACAATATGTTTATTCTCAAGAATACTTATATCAAATTACTACGTAGATAATTTTATAGTAGTAATTATAGATTCTAGTGAAAAATATACTTTACTATTAAAAATCATTTCTTTCAATTCTGAGAAAGTTAATTTGATCACATTTTCTTAGGAGACATTGAACCAGATTCAAACTTAACAACTGAAGATTTTGTTTGCAAGCTATCATCTATATAGAAAAAATACTGAAGACTCAACGTGTTCCAATTATTGTTGGAGGGTCAAATTCATATATCGAAAAACTTGTGGAAGATCATGTGTTCATGTTCAAATATTAGTATGATAACTTCTTTATTTGGATTGATGTTGAGCAATCAGTATTGAACCGTAGAGTTGACATGAGGGTTGATCAAATGGTCAAAGCAGGTAATTTTTGTAATTATTTTGTGTATCAATCAAGATATACTATCATGCAGCTAGCAAAAAACTTTTCTTATATAATTTTCTTAATAATACTTTTGGTTATCAAATATATGTTCTACTAAATAAAACTCTTCTTTAAATTTGTGTTGAATGCAGGGCTAGTGGATGAGGTGCGACAAATTTTCATTCCACATGTAGATTACAATACAGGAATCTGATGGTCCATCGGTGTTCCTGAAATAGAAAAATATTTAAGGGAAGAAACAAATATAGACGGAGATGATGAATCAAAGAAGATGATTCTTCGAGCTTCACCTTCAAGTATCAAGTGTAATACTCGTATGTTAATTTGTAACCAACTTGACAAGATTCAACGATTAATAAGAGAGAAAATGTGGTCAGTGCATCATATTATTGGTACGGAACGTTTTCAAAAATGAGAGAGAAGAAGATCTGGACGAAGCATGGACGTATACTATTTTTCAACCATGCCTAGGTATTGTGAAGATATTTCCCAAAAATGATCATCACAATATTATTATTGAGTGTACATAAACTTTCATTATCGCCATCTTAAGTTTTGGTCTCTTTATTTTTGAGCTATTTTGTGCAGTTTCTAATATATATGAATTTATATATATTTGATTTGGTTTACTAATTAATAAGTCTATAAAAAATAATATTTTTACTATAAAAGCACAGCTCTATGTGGTCTCCTAGCAACGTATACTCATAACTTTATCCTAAAATATATTTACTAATAATAACCAAAATTCAAGTTGACATATCTATCAATTTTTAAAAGTTATTCTTATCCTAAAATATATCAGTAATTATGAAATTGGTATGTCAATTAATAACTCCACAAAAAGATTTTACTTTAAAAGCTAAATGTAATTTTTTTTTTCACATCCACCATCAAGAAAATTTTTTATTTTTAGATAGTTTATTCCAAGTCAAGCATGGTTTCTACTTACTAGCTTTATATTTTACAAGATTTTTTTATGTCTGACTTTATGAATTCACTATTATAAACCATTTTTTTGTTTGTAGATAAAATGAATACATTCATCAATAATAAAGAGTTCAAGAAGAAAGTTATCTTCGTAATGGGGGCCACAGGAACGGGAAAATCCCGTCTCTCCGTTGACCTTGCCACCCATTTTCGAGGAGAAATTATCAACTCGGATAAAATGCAAGTTTACAAGGGACTTGAAATTGTTACAAACAAGATCACACATACTTAAAAATAAGGTGTACGACACTATTTGTTAGGTATATATGTTTATTCTCAAGATTGCTTATATCAAATGACTACCTAGATAATTTTATAGTAGTAATTATAGATTCTAGTGAAAAGTATAATTTACTATTAAAAATTCATTTTTTTCGATTCTGAGAAAGTTAATTTGATCACATTTTCTTAGGTGAAATTGAACCAGATTCAGACTTCACAGCTGAAGATTTTTGTTTGCAAGCTATCATCTATATAGAAAAAATACTGAAGACTCAACGTGTTCCAATTATTGTTGGAGGGTCAAATTCGTATATCGAAAAACATGTGGAAGATCATGTGTTCATGTTCAAATATAAGTATGGTAGCTGCTTTATTTGGATTGATGTTGAGCAATCAGTATTGAACCGTAAAGTTGACATGAGGGTTGATCAAATGGTCAAAGCAGGTAATTTTTGTAATTATTTTGTGTATAAATCAAGATATACTATGATGCAGCTAGCTAAAAACTTTTTTTATATAATTTTCTTAATAATAGTTTTGGTTATCAAATATATGTTCTACTAAATAAAACTGTTCTTTAAATTTGTGTTGCATGCAGGGCTAGTGGATGAGGTGCGACAGATTTTCATTCCAGATGCAGATTACACCAAAGGAATCCGACGGTCCATCGGGGTCCCTGAATTGGACAGATATTTAAGGGAAGAAACAAACATAGACGGAGATGATGAATCAAAGAAGATTATTCTTCAAGATTTAATTTCAAGTATCAAGCGTAATACTCGTATGTTAATTTGTAACCAACTTGACAAGATTCAACGATTAATAAGCGAGAAAATGTGGTCAGTGCATCATATTATTGCTACGGACGTTTTCAAAGAAGATAGAAAAGAAGATCTTGACGAAGCATGGACGAATATTGTTTTGCTACCATGCCTAGATATTGTGAAGAGATTTCTCAAAAACGATCATCACAATATTATTATTGAGTGTACATAAACTAGCTTTATCGTCATCTTCTGTTTTGATCTCTTTTATTTTTGACCTATTTTGTACAGTTTGTATCGCATTATAATTATATATGTTTGATATGACCCTTTTTTCTATATATGTTACTCATGTATGTAAAAAAAATTCTTATCTATAGATGAAATATTTATTTTATGTTTCCATCCAAGCCCAAGCCCAAGTCCAAGTCCAAGTCTTTTATATTTAATATAAATTAATACAAATACATACGTACATAATTACATGAGATCACTCATAATGTCAAGCTAATATAGTGATAAAATAATAAATCACCATAAATGTTCGGGAAGATTCCACTCTAAAAGGTTTTTGAAGAATTGAATTTTTAACTCAATACTTAAAAATGTTACATAGACAAAGAAGATAAAATAGCAAATTTCTAATCTATCGGTAATGATTATATTCTACCTAATTCTATCACGGTGATTGAAGATTGATTCAATAAAGTCCTTATCTATTATTATTTGGTGCACAAGTTAATATAAATACTCGTAATTGAAATAGTTATCGATAATTGTTCACTTCCCTTTTATGGAATTAGACATAACACTTATGATGTGTGGTTGAGTAGTGCAAGATTTGTCACATTATCACTTGAATATATTTTGTTAACAAAATTATTGAGTTCTTTGTACAATCCTTATGTAACTCCTTGTGATCTCACAACGATATACATCTAGAAATGTCATCCTAAAATAATTTAAGCTTAATCGCCAAAATTTAAGGTGACATATCTCTTAATTTTTTAATAAAATATTCTATTCTAATATATATGAATTTATATATATTTAATTTGGTTTACTAATTAATAAGTCTATAAAAAATAACATTTTTACTATAAAAGCCCAGCTCTATGTGGTCTCCTAGCAACGTATACTCATAACTTTATCCTAAAATATATTTAATAATAATTACAAAAATTCAAGTTGACATATCTATCAACTTTTAAAAGTTATTCTTACCCTAAAATATATCAGTAATTATGAAATTTGTATGTCAATTAATAACTCCACAAAAAGATTTTACTATAAAAGCTGAATGTATTTTTTTTTCACATCCATCATCAAGAAATTTTTTTATTTTTAGATAGTTTATTCCAAGTCAAGCAAGGTTTCTACTTACTAGCTTTATATTTTACAAGATTTTTTATGTCTGACTTTATGAATTCACTATTATAAACCATTTTTTTGTTTGTAGATAAAATGAATACATTCATCAATAATGAAGAGTTCAAGAAGAAAGTTATCTTCATAATGGGGGCCACAGGAACGGGAAAATCCCGTCTCTCCGTTGACCTTGCCACCCATTTTCGAGGAGAAATTATCAACTCGGATAAAATGCAAGTTTACAAGGGACTTGAAATTGTTACAAACAACATCACACATACTGAAAAACAAGGTGTACGACACTATTTGTTAGGTATATATGTTTATTCTCAAGATTGCTTATATCAAATGACTACCTAGATAATTTTATAGTAGTAATTATAGATTCTAGTGAAAAGTATAACTTACTATTAAAAATTCATTTTTTCGATTCTGAGAAAGTTAATTTGATCACATTTTCTTAGGTGAAATTGAACCAGATTTAGACTTCACAGCTGAAGATTTTTGTTTGCGAGCTATCATCTATATAGAAAAAATACTGAAGACTCAACGTGTTCCAATTATTGTTGGAGGGTCAAATTCGTATATCGAAAAACATGTGGAAGATCATGTGTTCATGTTCAAATATAAGTATGATAGCTGCTTTATTTGGATTGATGTTGAGCAATCAGTCTTGAACCATAAAGTTGACATGAGGGTTGATCAAATGGTCAAAGCAGGTAATTTTTTTAATTATTTTGTGTATAAATCAAGATATACTATCATGCAGCTAGCTAAAAACTTTTTTTATATAATTTTCTTAATAATAGTTTTGGTTATCAAATATATGTTCTACTAAATAAAACTGTTCTTTAAATTTGTGTTGCATGCAGGGCTAGTGGATGAGGTGCGACAGATTTTCATTCCAGATGCAGATTACACCAAAGGAATCCGACGGTCCATCGGGGTCCCTGAAATGGACAGATATTTAAGGGAAGAAACAAATATAGACGGAGATGATGAATCAAAGAAGATTATTCTTCAAGCTTTAATTTCAAGTATCAAGCGTAATACTCGTATGTTAATTTGTAACTAACTTGACAAGATTCAACGATTAATAAGCGAGAAAATGTAGTCAGTGCATCATATTATTGCTACGGACGTTTTCAAAGAAGATAGAAAAGAAGATCTTGACGAAGCATGGACGAATATTGTTTTGCAACCATGCCTAGATATTGTGAAGAGATTTCTCAAAAACGATCATCACTATATTATTATTGAGTGTATATAAACTAGCTTTATCGTCATCTTCTGTTTTCATCTCTTTTATTTTTGACCTATTTTGTACAGTTTGTATCGCATTATAATTATATATGTTTGATATGACCCTTTTTTCTATATATGTTACTCATGTATGTAAAAAAAATTCTTATCTATAGATGAAATATTTATTTTATGTTTCCATCCAAGCCCAAGCCCAAGCCCAAGTCCAAGTCTTTTATATTTAATATAAATTAATACAAATACGTACGTACACAATTACATGATGTCACTCATAATGTCAAGCTAATAGAGTGATAAAAAATAAATCACCATAAATGTTCGGGAAGATTCCACTCTAAAAGGTTTTTGAAGAATAGAATTTTTAACTCAATACTTAAAAATGTTACATAGACAAAGAAGATAAAATAGTAAATTTCTAATCTATCGGTAATGATTATATTCTACCTAATTCTATCACGGTGATTGAAGATTGATTCAATAAAGTCCTTATCTATTATTATTTGGGACACAAGTTAATATAAATACTCGTAATTGAAATAGTTATCGATAATTGTTCACTTCCCTCTTATGGAATTAGACTTAACACTTATGATGTGTGGTTGAGTAGTGCAAGATTTGACATATTATCACTTGAATATATTTTGTTAACAAAATTATTGAGTTCTTTGTACAATCCTTATGTAACTCCTTGTGATCTCACAACGATATACATCTAGAAACGTCATCCTAAAATAATTTAAGCTTAATCGCCAAAATTTAAGGTGACATATCTCTTAATTTTTTAATGAAATATTCTTATTCTAATATATATGAATTTATATATATTTAATTTGGTTTACTAATTAATAAGTCTATAAGAAATAACATTTTTACTATAAAAGCCCAGCTCTATGTGGTCTCCTAGCAACGTATACTCATAACTTTATCCTAAAATATATTTAATAATAATTAAAAAAATTCAAGTTGACATATCTATCAACTTTTAAAAGTTATTCTTATCCTAAAATATATCAGTAATTATTAAATTGGTATGTCAATTAATAACTCCACAAAAAGATTTTACTATAAAAGCTAAATGTAATTTTTTTTTCACATCCACCATCAAGAAATTTTTTTATTTTTAGATAGTTTATTCCAAGTCAAGCAAGGTTTCTACTTACTAGCTTTATATTTTACAAGATTTTTTTATGTCTGAATTTATGAATTCACTATTATAAACCATTTTTTAGTTTGTAGATAAAATGAATACATTCATCAATAATGAAGAGTTCAAGAAGAAAGTTATCTTCATAATGGGGGCCACAGGAACGGGAAAATCCCATCTCTCTGTTGACCTTGCCACCCATTTTCGAGGAGAAATTATCAACTCGGATAAAATGCAAGTTTACAAGGGACTTGAAATTGTTACAAACAAGATGACACATACTGAAAAACAAGGTGTACGACACTATTTGTTAGGTATATATGTTTATTCTCAAGATTGCTTATATCAAATGACTACCTAGATAATTTTATAGTAGTAATTATAGATTCTAGTGAAAAGTATACTTTACTATTAAAAATTATTTTTTTCGATTCTGAGAAAGTTAATTTGATCACATTTTCTTAGGTGAAATTGAACCAGATTCAGACTTCACAGCTGAAGACTTTTGTTTGCAAGCTATCATCTATATAGAAAAAATAATGAAGACTCAACGTGTTCCAATTATTGTTGGAGGGTCAAATTCGTATATCGAAAAACTTGTGGAAGATCATGTGTTCATGTTCAAATATAAGTATGATAGCTGCTTTATTTGGATTGATGTTGAGCAATCAGTCTTGAACCGTAGAGTTGACATGAGGGTTGATCAAATGGTCAAAGCAGGTAATTTTTGAAATTATTTTGTGTATCAATCAAGATATACTACAATGCAGCTAGCTAAAAACTTTTCTTATATAATTTTCTTAATAATACTTTTGGTTATCAAATATATGTTCTACTAAATAAAACTCTTTTTTAAATTTGTGTTGCATGCAGGGCTAGTGGATGAGGTGCGACAGATTTTCATTCCAGATGCAGATTACACCAAAGGAATCCGACGGTCCATCGGGGTCCCTGAAATGGACAGATATTTAAGGGAAGAAACAAACATAGACGGAGATGATGAATCAAAGAAGATGATTCTTCAAGCTTCAATTTCAAGTATCAAGCATAATACTCGTATGTTAATTTGTAACCAACTTGACAAGATTCAACGATTAATAAGCGAGAAAATGTGGTCATTTCATCATATTATTGCTACGGACGTTTTCAAAGATGATAGAGAAGAAGATCTTGACGAAGCATGGACGAATATTGTTTTGCTACCATGCCTAGATATTGTGAAGAGATTTCTCAAAAACGATCATCACAATATTATTATTGAGTGTACATAAACTAGATTTATCGCCATCTTCTGTTTTGATCTCTTTTATTTTTGACCTATTATGTACAGTTTGTATCGCATTATAATTATATATGTTTGATATGACCCTTTTTTCTATATATGTTACTCTTGTCTGTAAAAAAAATTCTTATCTATAGACGAAATATTTATTTTATGTTTCCATCCAAGCCCAAGCCCAAGTCTAAGTCCAAGTCTTTTATATTTAATATAAATTAATACAAATACATACGTACACAATTACATGATGTCACTCATAATGTCAAGCTAATAGAGTGATAAAATAATAAATCACCATAAATGTTCGGGAAGATTCCACTCTAAAAGGTTTTTGAAGAATAGAATTTTTAACTCAATACTTAAAAATGTTACATAGACAAAGAAGATAAAATAGTAAATTTCTAATCTATCGGTAATGATTATATTCTACCTAATTCTATCACGGTGATTGAAGCTTGATTCAATAAAGTCCTTATCTATTATTATTTGGTGCACAAGTTAATATAAATACTCGTAATATAAATACTTATCGATAATTGTTCACTTCCCTCTTATGGAATTAGACATAACACTTATGATGTGTGGTTGAGTAGTGCAAGATTTGACACATTATCACTTGAATATATTTTGTTAACAAAATTATTGAGTTCTTTGTACAATCCTTATGTAACTCCTTGTGATCTCACAACGATATACATCTAGAAACGTCATCCTAAAATAATTTAAGCTTAATCGCCAAAATTTAAGGTGACATATCTCTTTATTTTTTAATGAAATATTCTTATTCTAATATATATGAATTTATATATATTTAATTTGGTTTACTAATTAATAAGTCTATAAAAAATAACATTTTTACTATAAAAGCCCAGCTCTATGTGGTCTCCTTGCAACGTATACTCATAACTTTATCCTAAAATATATTTAATAATAATTACCAAAATTTAAGTTGACATATCTATCAACTTTTAAAAGTTATTCTTATCCTAAAATATATCAGTAATTATGAAATTGGTATGTCAATTAATAACTCCACAAAAAGATTTTACTATAAAAGCTAAATGTAATTTTTTTTTCACATCCACCATCAAGAAATTTTTTTATTTTTAGATAGTTTATTCCAAGTCAAGCAAGGTTTCTACTTACTAGCTTTATATTTTACAAGATTTTTTTATGTCTGACTTTATGAATTCACTATTATAAACCATTTTTTAGTTTGTAGATAAAATGAATACATTCATCAATAATGAAGAGTTCAAGAAGAAAGTTATCTTCATAATGGGGGCCACAGGAACGGAAAAATCCCGTCTCTCTGTTGACCTTGCCACCCATTTTCGAGGAGAAACTATCAACTCGGATAAAATGCAAGTTTACAAGGGACTTTAAATTGTTACAAACAAGATCATACACACTGAAAAACAAGGTGTACGATACTATTTGTTAGGTATATATGTTTATTCTCAAGATTGCTTATATCAAATGACTACCTAGATAATTTTATAGTAGTAATTATATATTCTAGTGAAAAGTATACATTACTATTAAAAAATCATTTTTTTCGATTCTGAGAAAGTTAATTTGATCACATTTTCTTAGGTGAAATTGAACCAGATTCATACTTCACAGCTGAATTGTTTGAAAGCTATCATCTATATAGAAAAAATAATGAAGACTCAACGTGTTCCAATTATTGTTGGAGGGTCAAATTCGTATATCGAAAAACTTGTGGAAGATCCTGTGTTCATGTTCAAATATAAGTATGCTAGCTTCTTTATTTGGACTAATGTTGAGCAATCAGTCTTGAACCGTAGAGTTGACATGAGGGTTGATCAAATGGTCAAAGCAGGTAATTTTTGTAATTATTTTGTGTATCAATCAAGATATACTATCATGCAGCTAGCTAAAAACTTTTCTTATGTAATTTTCTTAATAATACTTTTGGATATCAAATATATTTTCTACTAAATAAAACTCTTCATTAAATTTGTGTTGCATGCAGGGCTAGTGGATGAGGTGCGACAGATTTTCATTCCATCTATTTTCATTCCAGATGCAGATTACACCAAAGAAATCCGACGGTCCATCGGGGTCCCTGAAATGGACATATATTTAAGGGAAGAAACAAACATAGACGGAGATGATGAATCAAAGAAGATGATTCTTCAAGCTTCAAATTTCAAGTATCAAGCGTAATACTCGTATGTTAATTTGTAACCAACTTGACAAGATTCAACGATTAATAAGCGAGAAAATGTGGTCAGTGCATCATATTATTGCTACGAATGATTTCAAACAAGATAGAGAAGAAGATCTTGACGAAGCATGGACGAATATTGTTTTGCAACCATGCCTAGATATTGTGAAGAGATTTCTCAAAAACGATCATCAC